AATGGCGCCCGGCACGGGGCCGGCGCGGATCCGCGCGTCGGGAGGAGGCTGCGGGGCCTCCCGGGGAAGGGCCGCGGGGCCTGGGCTGCGCGCGTTTAACCCGAGCCGGGCACACGGCGCCGGCAGCGCGGGGGGCGAAACCCGGCGAGGAATGCAGCGAGGAATGGTCCCGGCTCTCGGGGCGCTCGGAGATGCAGCGCTCCGGAGCGGTGACAGCGAGCACAGGCCGGAGCCCGCAGTGTCCCGGAGAGCGGATCCCTGGCGGGGAGGCAGCAGCCCTCTGCAAGGAACCCAAAACTTGGCACCCCCTCCCCAAAAAAAAAATAATTATAGGCCTACCAAAAATCGTGTGTGATGCTGCTCTCAGAATCCCGAGACGCCTGGGCTGGCGGGGGAACTTTCTTTTGGCCTTTCAGAAGACAAAGCAACAAGTTTGCGTTAGGCTAGGACTTGTTTTCTGCTCGGTTTCAGGAAATGGTCGCTTAGGAAGCTCGTGTATAAAGCAGGAAAAGGAATGAGGAAGGTTACATCGATGCTGATAAAAGCTGCTTATCTTTGTATCAGTCTGAAGAGGTACAGGTCTGCAAAGCTGCAGTGAGAGCAAAAAAATACCACTAGGAAAGTAGCTAATACCAAGATCTCTGTTTCCTTTATTTGCAGAAGCTTCTGATCTCTTCATGCAGCAAATGAAAAAAACTTAAGAAAAAACAGACAGTGTTGAAGATAGAATTCTCTATTCCTTTAGTTCCAGGGCAGGCAAAACCCATTCTGGACAGCAGAAACTGTATTCAACCTTGTTTTTTTCTTAATGTTGCAGCAGCAAACTGGGTAACAAAAGAAAACAAGTACAGGAAAGTGCATCTGGAGGTATCAGGATACTCAGAAGAAACATTGGTGACTTTTGGGGGTTTCTTTAAGGAAATGGGTAGTTAATGTGATGACCATTAATTTTGCTCAGAAAACATCAAACCTGAACAGAGCTGTTACCTGACTTCAACTTTAGTTTAAAAAGAAGTTAAATTCTCTTTAGTTGAGATTTGCAGTAGCTACTCCCTACCTCAGCAACAAAAGGACAGTGTTTGATTTCAGAGCACTTCACTGGGTTCTTGCCTGCTTTGGTGACACACTCTAGTTTAGAGTGGTGCTGAACTCTTTGAAAATACAGTTTCTTATTTTGCCTTGCAACAGATGCAATTCCATGTTCCCATCAGGCTGTTCCAGCAGGAATTGCAGTGACAAAATTCTTTGCTCTAAGCACCAGGTTCAATCTAATAGCTGTGGTTTAAAAACCAGGGCTGTTTCCAAACAAGTGGTTTGGTTTTGGTTTGGGGTTGTTTTTTGTTGGGAGTTACTGACTTTTAAAAGTGACAGTAATGGTTTTCTTGCTTGCTGTACAGAAAAACACTGACTCAACGTAATTAAGAAACTGCCAAATACGTTGAAAATGCTAAGAAAGTACCCTTTGTCCTAAAGTTTAAAGGATAAAAAAGGCTTTTCAAGAAAAGCAAAAAGTGGTTTTGTTTGACTTTAAGTGATTAACAGATTGGGTTTTGAGGGTTGTGTTGAGTTACCACAATATTAGTGGTGTGAGGATAACTTCAAACAATTATTAAAAAACACTTTCGATAATTACAGTCCTTGTAACTACACATGTGTATCCACCACAATCTTAACAGATTCACAATACATACTATAAAAAAAAACAAATAGAAAAAGCTCTCACCACATTAATATCTTATACTAGAAGTCCAAACAGACTCTTACAATAACCCAAATAACAAAAACCACTCCCTGTAATAAACCTAAAAACCAAGCCAAGTGTTTTACTTGTAAAACCAAACAAGTGTTTTACTCTGACCCACAAGGAACTTCATTCTCCCAATTACCTGGACTTGCAGATGAAACCAAGTGTTTTACTTGTAAAACCAAGTAAAACCAAACAAGTGTTTTACTCTGACCCACAAGGAACTTCATTCTCCCAATTACCTGGACTTGCAGATGAAAAACCTTTCAAAGCAGTGTCACAAACGTGTCTTACGTGGAGCTCATGGTATTTCACGTGGAGCTCATGGTATTTTACGTGGAGCTCGTGGAATTTTACGTGGAGGTCATGGTGTTTTACGTGGAGCTCGTGGTATTTTACATGGAGCTCATGGTATTTTACGTGGTGCTCGTGGTATTTTACATGGAGCTCATGGTATTTTACGTGGTGCTCGTGGTATTTTACATGGAGCTCATGGTATTTTACGTGGTGCTCGTGGTATTTTACATGGAGCTCATGGTATTTTACGTGGTGCTCGTGGTATTTTACATGGAGCTCATGGTATTTTACGTGGTGCTCGTGGTATTTTACATGGAGCTCATGGTATTTTACGTGGAGCTCGTGGAATTTTACGTGGAGCTCGTGGTGTTTTACCTGGAGCTCGTGGTGTTTTCTGTGGAGCTCGTGGTGTTTTCCGTGGAGCTCCTGGTATTTTACATGGTGCTCATGGTATTTAGGTGGAGCTCGTGGTATTTTACATGGAGCTCGTGGTGTTTTAGGTGTCAGCAGGTTGGATATTGAAGGAGCTCTTGTCTGTTCCCCAGCTTTGCGGGCGGAGGCAGCGATGGAGCGCTTCGGGGTGAAGTCGGCGCCGTCGCGGAACCGCTCCAAGACCGCTCTGTACGTGACGCCCCAGGACCGCGTGACGGAGTTCGGCAGCGAGCTGCACGAGGACGGGGGGAAGCTCTTCTGCACCTCCTGCAACGTGGTGCTCAACCACGTGCGCAAGTCCGCCATCAACGACCACCTCAAGTCCAAAACGCACACCAAGAGGAAGGCGGAGTTCGAGGAGCAGAACGTCAGGAAGAAGCAAAGGACTCTGACTGCCTCCCTGCAGTGCAACAGCGCTGCCCAGACGGAGAAAAGCAGCGTGATCCAGGACTTTGTGAAAATGTGCCTGGAGGCCAATATCCCCCTGGAGAAGGCGGATCACCCCTCCGTGCGAGCCTTCCTGTCCCGCTACGTTAAGAACGGCAGCTCCATACCCAAGTCGGAGCAGCTGAGGAAAGCCTATCTGCCTGACGGCCACGACAATGAGAACCAGCTCATCAACACCGAAGACCGTTGAGAAGAGAACTGTTTTCATCCTTGTTGTGAAGTTTTACATATCGATGGTGTGGTTTATTTTTATATTCATGCATATATACAGTGTTACATATTGATTTTACAAGCTGTTTTGTATTCTTGTAGAAATGACAATCTGCTCCTGAACTTAGCGGATCGTTGCTAACCCCGCTGCGGACTTCAGAGCTCACGAGGAATGTAGGGAGCATCCCTGGCATGCTCCTGATCTCTGTTCAGTCCAGAGGCTGAGGAAAAGGCACTTGAATGGAGGACCCCAATTCACAGTGCATCTAAGAAGAGGGTGTGGTAGGGATTGCTGCTCGTGGCAGTGGATTGCTGTGTCCAGTATCCTGTCCCTGAGCGACCAAGAAGAGATGCTGCACCTTTGAAATGCAAGAAGCTCTAGGATGGTTAGTTAAAATATCACTGCTCTGTTGGGGGAGGACTGTTGCAACTTTCTATTCAAGCTTGGTTTACGTTTTGAAACAGGAAACGTTTTTCTTCTAGAACTCTCTCTTATGCTGTTTGGTGCAACTGTGGATGTATTCATTATCCAGCTTAACCAGCCAGTCTCTTGTACTGACCTCTGAACTCCACTGTTCTCATAAGGCTGGGAGTTCTGCAGGTTTGCCATGTCTGCTTTTCTAAAATCACTGTTCCTTCATCTTGGTTCCACAAGCCCCCTTCCATTTCAGTGCCAATATCTGAAAGCTGAGTAGACAAACCTGTAACTGAGTGTGGTTTGCAGTGCAGCTGCTGTCAAGTGAAACTTATGCTGGACCAAATTCTTAGCAGAGAAGATTAATGCCTTTTTCCTACTAGCAGGACTCAGCTAAATCTAAATTGGGGATGGTAGAAGCACTAACTGAGGAGTTGGGAAGTTTTTTTCATTGTTCACAGTAGAAGAGGCTGCTCCATATTTCCCTGAAGGTCCTGCACACATCTGGCCTTACCATCAGCCTTTCAGTCAAGGGAGGTGAAGTGATTAGAATAGATCTTAAAGCAGTTACTGCAAAAGTTCTTCAGTACTTGTAAACACAAGTAAGAAGGCACATACACTTGGAACTTATAATGGAATTACAGACCTGGGCTGTATTTCTTACTCTGTGCCATGGCCACATCTATTCAAAAGCAAAATGGGGAATTGAAGAATTTCAATAATGTTACTCTCTCCAAAATCTAGTAAACAGTTACTAAGCTATTCCAAATGATGATGCCAAATAGTTCACCTAACACAAACGTTCCATAAAGGTTTGGGATGAAGTGAGGGAGTACTGTGCAAAGTGCTGGAATACAACTGACCTCTGCATGCTCTAGATCTGGAGATGCTCTGGGCTCAGACAAGTGCCAAGCATCTCCTGGGGGCTCAGGAGTCCTCCCTCTCCAGGGGTACAATGGCACAAGGATGCTTTAACTGCTGAGGGTGGAGCCAGTTGTCCAGCTTCCTTTCCCCAGCGGAGTTTTGCAGCAGTTTATTTACAGCAGTACCAAGGAACTGCTGAAAAGAGACAAAATAACCAGATTATTTTGTGTTCAGAGCTATTTCCCAGCTGTATCTAGAGCAGTCTCCTTTGCTGGGCTGAGAGAGACTTACACACTTAGTAACAACTATTTTTTTGTGCAATTAGTCTGCAGAAATGCACTTGTGTTCCATGTCCTGCTATGAAACCTGCTGGAATAAATGGACAAAGCTAAAAAGCAGGATGTTTCTTACTCATGTGCATCAGTCCAGGGGTGCTCAGCCCACTGCTGGTCTAGGACTTCAGACAGAAATAACAGTAGCAACTTTTTAATCTAATCCTAGAGATCAAGATATGCCTTCCTAAATATAATTTTTTATTGCACAAGCTTGGGTTTAGCTTAAAATCCTTAAATGCCTTGGGCTAGAACTGTTTACTAAATCTTCTGAAGCCAAGTGAAAGGTAAACTGCCAAGAGCCTTTTCTGTCCTGACAAGAACTGAAAGCATTTTCTCACAGCTGCTGTTTCCTTACAGTGAAACAACATCCTTGCTTTAATTTTTAATCTTTATTGAAACCTCAGCAATGCTAAAGCAAATGGAGAAGAATGGGATATTAAGAAAAGAAAAGCAGCTAGAGAAGTGGGATGGGCAAAAGGAATTTGGGCTAGTTCACTCAGTTTTGCTAACAATTTTATATAGGATTAGATGCTGTGTGTTCTTCCCTTGACTGACAGACTGACAGACATTTTGAAATGCTTCATGGGAACATTAAACAGGCTCCTGCATAACTGAAAAAAAAGAAAAAAAATCAAGTTGCTTTCAAATTTACAGTTTTGCATAAAAATGAAGCAATTGGCAAGTGTAATGGACTCAATTTGCAGGACACTGCTGTCTTAATAATAGCATATTTTCATTTAAAAATAAAGCCACAATACTTTTCAAGCTTTTTTGAAAATCAGGACATTGTTCCATTGCAACAAACGTTAATAATGGAGTAAAGCTATGAAAAATAAAGCACTTCCAGGTAATCTAGAAAGAATAAGTTTAAAATCATGAAAATAACCCTAATCATCAAGGCATTTTTAGAGAAAATATGAGTAAGTGCTTGCATTCTGTCATGAAACAGAGTCCTGCAAACACTCAAATTCAGAACACCCGATCTGAAAGTTCATTTCACCATTCAGTTTTGCCAAAAGTTCATTTCACCATTCAGTTTTGCCAGTATGGCTGCAGTTGGATAAAACATAACTTTCTTTTAATTGCTGTTGATCTCAGGGAAGATTTACAGCAGAAGTTTTCTCATCTATCTAAACCTAAGGAATAACTAAATCCTAGTTTTGAGGCTGTAATGGAGTTGTTTGAACAGTCACCATGGGGGATTAATTTCTTGTGCAAGAATGTATTTCCTGTAAAGAAAATCTCAGAAGTAAAGGAAGGATGGTAGCAGTGTCAGCTTTTTGCTTTACAGACAAATGTAGGGACAATCTCTAAGGGATACTTTCTGCCAGGTGGTTTTAGGGATACATTTGAGGTCTAAATGTAATAGAAAAAATTAAGGAAGAAATATTTTCTTCTCTGACCAATACTTAAACTAATTTAGCCAAATTATCTAAAATTAGTCCCAAGTGTTTTTCTTGAAACAACACTTGCAAAGAGTCAAATACAAACACGACCATTCTCTGTTGAGGGACTCCTTCCATGGACACACCATGATAGTGTCAGCTAGCATGTTCTTCAAAAACCAGGAGCAAGCTTCAGAATTTTTAATCATTTTGAAGCCTGTAATTTGACAGGTCCCATGGGAAGGTGAAGCTTTCAGCACAATAAAAGGGAATTGATTTTCAGTGGAGAGAGAAACTTGTTCTGCACAGTATGGGATATTCTCACGATAGAAAGACTGGTTTTAACCAGAGCCCCTTTTAGCAGTTCTGTTGAACTGAAGAGTGAGATGCTCCCTGTTAGGTTTTGCAGCATAATGAGCTGATTTTCAGGAAAAAAGGAAAAAAAAAAAAGCTGGAAGTTTGGCAAGGAATCTCTATTTATATTACATATAAAAAGAGGCAAGGCTCACTGTTGTTGCATTCACATTGTACTCACTGCTACTTACTCTGTGTAACTTGAGTGCTTGTTGTCTTTGTACAATTTTAAAGTCGTGTCTAACTTTGAAAAGATTTTTATTTTAACAAAGTTTCTCACTGTAATAGTGCTGTTAGAGTTTAGTCTCTTTTGGTCTGATGAAGATGCTTTATTTTTGTTTTGGTGGTAGGGATGTTTTGTTGATGGTGAGTGGCCACAGAAATGGTTTTATTTAAAAAAAAAGTCATGAACTTATGATTAGATACTAGAGTGAGGCTGAAGATACCTGGGTCCTGCAGTGCCACAAGATTTCCTGTAGGAACAGTAAGACCAGAGTAAGTGATTTAAGTTTTTATATTAAAACAATACTGAAGAGAAATACTTTACATTGTAAAGTTTTCACTTGGTAATGAAAAAACGGTCTCTTAAAAAAAAAAATAAAGGTATTCCTTTTTTATAGAATTTATGCATAATCTCTTATTTTACCAATCAAGTGGATTAAGAACTTCTTGTGGTTCATAGAGTGGTGTAAGACACAGGAAATGGATGGGGACAGGAAAATTTAAGGAGGTGCTGCTGTAGCCTAAGGTAACATCAGATATTGAAGCATTTGATTTACCTGTGCAATGACACTGAAGTCTGTTTCAGGACTGGTTATACAAAACCTCTGCTTCCTGTCAATTCCTGATTTTCTTCATGGTGACAGAAATTCCCTAATGATGCCTTCTGCTCCAAGTGAATACCAGGTGGAATAATTGTGCTTTTTGACACTGCAGTAAACCATTTGTAGGTACAGAGTCTTGCAGCTACCCAAGGCCTCAGATCTTTTCAGGAAGGGCTTCTGCAATGTGGAAGAATCCAAAAAGGTCACAGTTTGATCCCTCTCCCTTGGGGACTTCATGAAAATTGAGCAAATAACATCAACCCATCAAAAATTATCATCAGGTGTGGGTTTGATTGTTTACACATTTCTTTTCCTGAATTCTGACGTGTATTGACATCTGAGGATGGATCAATGATAAATTCAGGCAACCTCTTGAGTGATGGATTTATGAACCATTATTTTCTCATTTTCAGTCATTTCCAGGTCACAGCACATTAAGACCAAGAGCTTTTTGTTGTGAAATGGAAAAGCAGAACAGAAATAAACATACCCTTTATAAATTTTTCTTGTGTGGACAATTCGTGTATGAAACAGCACACGCACACTTGCAAAAATCAATGCATCAGTCAGGATTTCTGTGGAAGCTGATGCAGGACCAGGTGAAGGAAATATTTAAAGTTTAGTAATTAGGCCATGCTAAATTCTGATGGTACCATTTTACCTTTTTAAGTGAATCAAGGCAGTTCAATCCATATCCAGGATGCAGTAGGATCAAGTACACACAGCTTTCAAATCAGTGATATTGATAATTAGGTCTGACATTTGTTATTTGCATAGGCTGAAGGAGAGTCAATCTCTGACAGTTCTGCTTTTATTTTTTTTTCCTGATCCCACCAAGTTTTTTACAAGGGGTTTGGAATTTGTAGCTTGTGTGGTCACCTCTTTGATATCTACAAGCACATCTCAGGTAGAAAGTGCAGGGTGAGAGAGGTGGAATAGAGAGCTACTGCAGCTCAGGTGAAAATACTGTGCAGTAGTTCTGTTCAGAGCTGACAGAAAAGTTTTAGGGACTTTAGAGGTTTTTAGGAGGGGTTTGTATATTGGTTTGCCTCAAGTGGTTTTTTAATCTGTCCTCCAGCGTCCAAAATAGCTCAAATTCAGCCTTGGATTTCACTGCAGTAACTGACACCTTCTCGCCTCAATTCTTCCATAATTAGCTTTAAATTGCTTCCTCCCTCCCCTTGTTTCTGAAGGCTGTCATTACCCCATGACAAATCCAACAGCTACAATACCCGTGGTTGCTCTTAGGGAAGTGTTTGATGGACAACAAACCCCCAGTGAAGCTTTAACCAGAATGAACCGAGCCCCCTTGTGAGAGCACCCAAGCTCAGCCAACAATTCAGAACCTGGCTCAAGATGTGTGCTTTGGTCTAACAAGGCTCAGCTTACCTCCTGAAACTGCTGAGGGAAAAGTGGGGAGATGCAAAGAATCTCATGTTGTGAAGGACTTGCATCAAAATGAAAGAGCTGATCCCTCTTCTAACAGGGAATTAGAGGAGTGAAGCTGCAGGGGCTGCCTTGGCTGGTGCAGCAGTAAATCCTAAGCTCTGTGATCACCAGTGACAGGCAAGGAGCTGGTGGGACACTGGAAAATTGCTGCTCCTTTAAGGCACTAAAAGCTCCTTCGTGCAGTGTTAAAAGGTAATTTTCAGCAGACTTCCTGGAGCTCACTCTCAGAACGCTGTGTCTCACTCTGTGGTTTCCTGCAAACAGGAAAAATACAGCCCCAAAATAGAACTGTGGTCTTGTCAGAAGAAAAACTGAGGTGGGACAGAAAGAACATTGCATAGATTATGGCTGGGTTTTTCTTTTCACTTGCCTTCAGTAAAGCAGCAACAGCCATGACAAAGGGGACTGAATCAGGTAAAGAACTTTTCTGTTTATAGCAATCCTCAGGTCTGAATTTCACCCTGTATTTTTGGAGCCTCTTCCTCAAAAATAAATCATATTCAACACAGAGAAATGTGCTAGTTGTGTTTAAATTGAATTAGTTCTTTGAATTCAATTGCACTGAGGGTTTTTAAACACCTGACATCTCTTAGGATTCAGCAAAGAAGTTACTGAGTTACTACAGACAGTGCAAATGAGCACCCATCTGGTGACACCTTTTCCTGCCATCTCCCTTTCCTAATTATACAGTTGAGGATTAGGACTCTCATGCCTTACTCTGACAAATACTTATTGTATATTTATTTAGTATTTACTATCCCTTGAAACATGCTTTTAAAGCAAAACTAGACTCTTGCAGTGTCTCAAATCAAATATTGTTAAAAACCAAAATTTAAAAATCTGAATTACCATTTGGAGATCAAAAATATCTCATTTGTATCTTAAGGATATCATAAAAACAGAATGGCAAAAATCTGAATGAATTACCGTTTGGAGATCGAAAATATCTCATTTGTATCTTAAGGATATCATAAAAACAGAATGGCTCAAGGTGGTAATTAACAAGAGGAAAAACTTCCCTGAATATCCAGTTTTTCTGTCGGAGCTGGCTGTGGGTGCAGCCACCAGGTGTCTTCAGTGCACAGAAATGCAATTTGTGGTAGGAGAGTTTGGGTTCAAGTGGAGCCCTGCTGTGTGTGCAGTAACACTCAAGGAGTTATCTTCCATAAATATTTTCCATTTAGGCTGGATTGGAGTTTTTGTCAGGCTTTTTCAGCTCCTCATAAACATCTCCTGATCACACGCTCCATCCAAACACAAAATTTTCAATAGAAAAAAAGAAATCCAAACATAACATTTCAGAAAGTGATTCCATTCTTTTTTCCAAAATATTACTCTGGAAAAAAAAAATCCTGATAATTTAGACTTTGGTAAGCATTTCCATCATAAGCAGAGGTGACAATTTCTATATACAAAATGCCTGTTTGCTTTCAATTTGGCTCTAACTTTATGAAGAAACGTGGCATGGGCAAAGTTTTTGGGAAGGTTCAGCTGAGTCTTAAAAATATTTAGGGGAAGAAAAGGAAATGCTGAGAAAGGAACACACAAAATCCAAATTACTTGTCCTTATGAAGATGCAGCAAAAAACAATCACCCCCAGTGCAGATTGTTGTGTGAATGGTGAATTTTTTCAACTTCTTAATTGACTGATGTTGAATTTACGTCATGCAGAAGCACTGAACAAGTTTAAAATCCTGCTTTGCATCCTTCCTCTCTGCTATCTTGCTCCTTGTAAAATCAAAACCTCACGTGCAGGAACATCTTTAAAAAAAAAACAAACAAACAAACAAAAAAAACCAATGCTAATTTGTTCATTACTCTGTGAGGGGAGGCAGGAGCCACAGAAGGGAAGATGTTTTTTAAACCCTCAGGATCACTTTCTCTTCCCAATGCCCAGACAATAAAGGTTTCTCCAGTCATGTTGATAAAAAGGATATTCCTGTAGATTCCTCAGGTAACGCTGGCTCAGAGCAATTATCAAGTTTACAATAAGATGTGGCCTCTAATTAAACCTGTCTGTAGCTATTAAACATTACAGGTGGAGAACAGAAACCAAAGCAGTGCTCAGTGCACCCTGGAGATAATGGGTCTTATTTTATTACCACAGCAGAGCCTCCTAATTTAACTGAAGAGGATGAAAATGATAATAACTGAAAAATATTCAGTGACTGGCTAGGTAAGAACTCCAGCACCTGAGGACAAAGTGCTTTGAACCATGGCCAAAGGTTTTGGTAGCATTCAACCCTGAGCTTGAAATCTGGAAATGCTACAAGCTCCAGGTCCAGTCTGCAGTCAAATTATCCTTAATTTGACAGTTTATCTGCAATTATTTAGCTTAACCACATCTAATTATTGTCTCACTTTCAACTCTAGAAGTTTTTGAGTAAGAGGCTCTGCTAATTTGGACTGGTGTGAGGACTACCCTGTGCCCAGTACCCTCCTGTGATAAAGCACTGCTAAAATGACACAAATTACTACAAATATCAAAATAATGTTTATAGGAGCATTACACAAACAAAAGTCTTGCAAGTCAGTCTCTACAGAACCATGATGGATTTTTTTTTTTAATGCACTTCCATCTTACCCCTTCTAAACTTGTTTGGTTAAAAGTAAGCTGGGAGTTGAAGCCAACTTATTTAAGCTTTGTAACCACAGACAAAACAATGAGAGCCCCAAAAACACCCTCCAGTGTACACCAGAAAAACTCCATTAGTGTTTCTTTAAAATGGGGGGGGAAAAGTGAAAAGGACTAAAATTCAATTTCTATTTCCAAAATTACATTCCTCAAAAAAACCCAACGGCAATATAAATATGTACAATCACTAAAATAAAATTTTCCACCATTCCTTGAGAAGCCATCTCTGAAGCTCAGGGAAGGTGTTTAATGAGCTGCAGAACTGTTGTGCTCATTACAAGGGATTGAAGAATTGGAGAATCCTCCTTATCTGCTGCTGGAACATATGCTGGAAGAGATGAGAAGTTCAGTACCCTGAGTACTAAAAATATTTGACAGCTATATGTGAGAACAAGTGAAACAACTCCTAACTCTGCTTTCACATTTTGCATTGTATAAAGTGCCACTGTATTTCCATCTGTGCACTGATCCAAACTTCCTCCAAATGCTTTTGTGCTGAACTCTGAGCATCTCTGTATTTTAACCAGGCTCTTTCTTCTTCTCTGAAGGTCAGAGGGACGTGGAAGACTCTGGTCCTTAATCAAGGCCAAAGTGATTCGTGCTGAAAAAGCTGATCCTGGGAGAGGAAAGAACTTTACAAGCCAACAGAAGGATACCTTAACACTGTCAACTTGCAGTTTGTTGTGAATGCTGATGGTGTAAAATGATCCTGCTTCTGACCAACGACAACTGAAGACTACAAATTAAAAGTGACACGTGCATGGCTTGTAGGAGTCAGACTCTCTGGTGTGTGGCATTGGTTATGTCAGGGGATGTTAGATCATCATGAACCCATTGATATTTTGTTCCCTAGTTCAGTTTTTGGGTTCATTTCTTTCTTGATGTTTTGCTTGTAAGGAGTAAGTTCCTGCCATTAACAAAGGGCAGACTGCATTCACTTCAGTGTTTACCAAGTGGCAACTCTGTCTTCAATTTTCCTCATGCCTACTACCTGGCAGGTGAAGAGAAGTTGTCAAGATTTCCTAAATCTGAGGATTGTCAGCATCTCTTGTCCTGCTTGCCTGGAAAGTACTCGTGTGCCTTTTAAGCCACTTTTCTCCATCGTTTCCAGAATTTCATCTGCAATGGAAAGTGCAGCGTTTACAAACGAGTTGAAATTTGAATGAAGACAAATTCATTCTAAAATATCTGCCAAGCTGCAAAGCAAAGTTTATAAACTCTGTCCTCCTACTCTTTCAGACAGGAACTTTCATGCAAAACAATCTCCCACCAAGCACAAATAAAGCTCACAACTTACAAACTGAACTTCAGTGTTTTGCTAGAATTCTGTATGAAGCTAAACTGCAGAAGAAAGTGAAATTTGTAGCACCTTCTCACAAAAGCTGCCTCATAAATCAGGTGTGGAGAATAATCCTGACATTACAGGATCACTTGTGGCCATCAAGCATTCGATCAGAAAGAACAAGTCCAAATCTTTTCTCTACATCTGTAGAATGAAAGACATCACATTTCCCACTAAGCCTTTTCGGTTAACACCATCATTCTCTTCCACAAGAAAGAACTGGCCTGGCATCATTAATTAATTCAGACTCAATTAATCCACCTTTCAGACTTGGACCTGAACTCCTGCAGAGCTGCTGGGGTCCCACACACTTCCACTTTCCAAACTAGCTTGGGGAGTTCTTAGTTTTGATAAATTTGCTTGCATTTTGGGTCGAGCTGTGATCAACATTTTCATTTATACCATATTAAACCTGGTTTGGCCCATCTGAATGTCCAAGGACAGTGATCACCTGGATTGTTTTCTTTGATTGTGACCAAGTAGAATAATCCTCCTGGTGAAAGCAGGTCTGCTACTAATGGGAAAACTCTATCCATTACTTCTCTGCCCTGTTTGCCCCCAGCCCAGGATGCCTCTATTCCACAGCTTTTCACCTAGGAAGAAGGAAAGCAAAGATTGTCACAACCACAGACAGTAGCAATACTATTTTTAAGGTGTATTTCAAAATTTTCCTACCTCTTCAGGAGGTGTTACCACATATGGTGGGTTAAAGAGCAGCAGATCAACCTTCCCATTTAATCTTGGGGATAATCCTTTGACCTGTAGGTGAAGGTGGTGATTGTGTGGGGTTTCTTTTTTGGGAACATGAAGAATGCAAATGATTTGTAAAAATATAGTTACATAGTGTAGTTGTTCAGCCATTTTAAATCCCATTTATTGTGGCCAATCTACATCATCTTTTATAAACATAAAATGGTTAAAGAGATGAGAAAAATTAGCTTTTCTCCATATCAAATTTTGTAAGAAACTAAAGGTAACAACAGACAGAAGTTCTAATTAAATCAGAAGAGGATGAGAACCAAGAACTGCATAACTTTAGACAAAGGGCTATGACAATGTCAGGCCACTATAGAATTCCTCATCCAGCAGTTTCCAAACTACATTTACATCTTAATTTTGAATTTTAGAGCTTGTGTAGTTGGTTGGGAGTTTTTTGGCAGGGGGTGATGTCCAGAGGTCCCTTCCAACCCTAACTATTGTGTGACTCCATGATCTGCAGTAAGTATTAAAAAATTACACAAACTGTGAAGGAGATACTGCTGAAAGCTCTCTCTTACCAAGTCAGTGATGACAGGCTGCAGGTGAACGTTGTTAAGCAGAGCTGTCTCCTGGGTACAGTAAGCTGCCATGGGGTTGATATCTGTGCATCTAAAAGGGAAATATTACAAAATGTAAATTATAGACTACTGTAGCTGGAAGTTTAACCCTATGAACCACAAGCTAGTTTATTATTCTGAATTCAAAGGGACCCACAAGGATTAAACCCAGCCAACACAAGTGTAGGCTCAGCAATTTGTCTGAGAAATGGGAAAATGGATTTCTAGTCACAGCACTACTCATAGAATTGAGAAAGGAACAGTTTTTCAAATGCAAAAATGATAAATATGTGTGAGAGGGCTAAGCATCCTGGACTAAGCATCCTTTAAGCATGCAACAGTTCAGGTGCTGTTATACTTACATGTACAGTGCACTGGGTCCAAGGATGGAAGAAGCCAGAAATGTTGAAACCACACCAGATCCAGATCCTATTTCAAGGCAGATCTCGACTCTAAAGAGAGAACACTCTGGATGACTTTTGTTTGTAACAGACACAGGATTGGTCAAGACAGCATTATAGAATATGCTGTCCTCCTAAACACGTTGAAGTACAGAATCATAGAATATCCTGAGCTGGAAGGGACTCCCAAGGATCATCCAGTTCATTGAAGTACAGAATCACAGAATATCCTGAGCTGGAAGGGACTCCCAAGGATCATCCAGTTCAACCCCTGGCCCTGCATCCCCAACAACCCCACCCTGTGCATCCCTGAGAGCGTTGTCCAAAAACTTTCTGAGCTGTCAGGATGGTGCTGTGACCATTCCCTGGGGAGCTTTCTCCCAGCCTAGGGAAATAGAACCTTTTCTTGATATCCACCCTAACCCTTCCCGACACAGCTTCAGGCCATCCCCTCAGCTCACACAGAGCAGGACCAGTGCTGGCTCCTCTGCTGCCTCTCATGAGAAAGCTGCAGACAGCAATGAGGTTTCCTCTTCTCCAAGCGGCCTCAGCCCCTTCTCCATCTCCACAGCCCCTCTGGAGCTCTCCAATGGCTTTAACATCCCTGTGCCAGCAATGCCCCCCGTCCCGGCTCCCCTGCCAGCCCTTCTCCTTCTCCGCAGCCCCTCTGGAGCTCCCTCAGAGCTTTAACACCCTTGTGCCAACAATCCTCCCCCACCTCACCCCTGCAGGCCCTTCCCCATCTCCGCAGCTCCTCTGGAGCTCTCCAATGGCTTTAACACCCCTGTGCCAACAATTCCCCCTCAGCTCACCCTTCCCAGCCCTTCCCCATCTCCGCAGCTCCTCTGGAGCTCTCCAATGGCTTTAACACCCCTGTGCCAACAATTCCCCCGCAGCTCGCCCGTCTCGGCTCCCCTGCAGGCCTTTCCCCATCTCCGCAGACCCTCTGAACCTCCCTCACAGCTTTAACACCCCTGTGCCAGCAATCCCCCCTCAGCTCACTCCCCTGCAGGCCCTTCCCCATCTCCGCAGCTCCTCTGGAGCTCCCTCACAGCTTTAACCCCCCTGTGCCAGCAATCCTCCTTCAGCTCACTCCTCCCGGCCCTTCCCCATCTCCGCAGCCCCTCTGGAGCTCCCTCAGAGCTTTAACACACTTGTGCCAACAATCCTCCCCCACCTCACCCCTGCAGGCCCTTCCCCATCTCCGCAGCTCCTCTGGAGCTCTCCAATGGCTTTAACACCCCTGTGCCAACAATTCCCCCTCAGCTCACCCTTCCCAGCCCTTCCCCATCTCCGCAGCCCCTCTGCAGCTCCGTCACACCCCTGTGCCAGCAATCCCCCCTCAGCTCACTCCCCTGCAGGCCCTTCCCCATCTCCGCAGCCCCTCTGGAGCTCCCTCACAGCTTTAACCCCCCTGTGCCAGCAATCCTCCTTCAGCTCACTCCTCCCGGCCCTTCTCCATCTCCGCAACCCCTCTGGAGCTCCCTCAGAGCTTTAACACACTTGTGCCAACAATCCCCCCTCAGTACACCCCTCCCGGCTCCAGCAGCCCCTCTGGAGCTCTCCAATGGCTTTAACATCCCTGTGCCAGCAATCTCCTCTCAGCTCACCCCGCTGCAGGCCCTTCCCCATCTCTGCAGCCCCTGTGGAGCTCCCTCAGAGCTTTAACACCCTTGTACGAACAATCCTCCCTGCTGCAGGCCCTTCCCCATCTCCGCAGCCCCTATGGAGCTCCCTCAGAGCTTTAACACCCTTGTACGAACAATCCTCCCTGAGCTCACCCTTCCCAGCCCTTCCCCATCTCCGCAGCCCCTCTGGAGCTCCCTCACGGCTTTAACCCCCCTGTGCCACAATCCCCCCTCAGCTCGCCCCTCCCGGCTCCGCAGCCCCTGTGGAGCTCCCTCACGGCTTTAACCCCCCTGTGCCACAATCCCCCCTCAGCTCGCCCCTCCCGGCTCTCCTGCCCGCCCAGCCGCACCGAGCCTCCCGCAGGCTGCCCGCGTCCCGCTCCAGCGCATCGAGCAGCAGGAAGGTGTCCTCGGCCGGCTCGTACACGTCCCGAAAGGGCCCCCGCGGGCCCAGGTGCCCGTAGCGCGGGGTGGGCAGCGCCATCCCGGCCCGCATCCGGGGGAAGGGGCGGGACGCGGGAGGAACGGGGCTGGAGCGCCCGGGCGCCCTCAGCGTTGCTCGGTGACACTCGGATGTGCTCGATACGAAATTGCAGCGGGTGCGGTGGGGTGTGATGGCCTCTATCCGACACTAAACACCATGGGTGTGTTTGGTGTGCGGTCCCCGCCGCCGGGAGGGATCCTGAGGGCGGAGAGGGAGCGGCGGTGCTGCTCCTGCTCCTGATTTCCGTGCCGGCTTCACAAATGGTGTTTCCATCGCGAAAACGACCACAGGGAGTCAGCACAAACCCGGAGGAAAGAGCTGCTGAGGAAGTCTCTGAAACGCACGGGGGAAACCCTGATATTGATATCCAATAAAGCTCTGTTTTCTAATAATAAAATTGCTATATTTCTGTGATTCTTAGCCAGTGTGAAAAATGTGTGTTTGATGTGTTTTGGCTTTTCGCAAATATTAAAATTAATATTATATGTACTATGTTGGAAAGTTATGCTGTATTCATTTTCTTAAGTAGTGTGCTAAATACAGTTTTAGGTTATAACATAATGCTAAAATAGAAACTATGCTATGCAAGATACTTTTTTTCTAAAGAAAGGGCTGGCACCAAGATAGCATCCACAGGACACCTAAATATTTTTTAAAATTTATTTTATTTTTTTATTTATTTTATTTATTTATTGCTCCATTATCAGAAGAAACTAATTTCTTCCTGCCTCGCTCTGCCCTGAAGACACCGTTAGGATTAAGAGGAAGAAGTTGATGATGACCAGACAGAATCCTTTGTTTGAATGGAATTTATACATCATGTATGAAGGATATGAATATGCAACAGGCAACTGTTTTTAAGGGTTAATCCTCTGTTAACCTGTGTCCTTTTTTGGGCTTATTTTGCCCAGAAAGAGGTACCCGGACTGTCTGTAACATTTTGTTTTTTATTGTCTCATATGATCCTAATCCAAATTGTCCAAATTATTATTACTCTAATTATATTACTATTTTTATAACCATTTTATTACTATTAAACTTTTTTAAAACTTTAAAAACAAGTGATTGACAGCCAGCAACACTAGACAGCATCCTTACGTACCAAGCATCTGAACTTCAGAGTCACAGAAACACAGATTGGGTGGGGTTGGAAGGGACCTCTCAGCTCATCTCATTCCATCCCAGATTGGTTGGGGTTGGAAGGGACCTCTCAGCTCATCTCATTCCATCCCATCAGACACCTTCTGCTATCCCAGGTGGCTCCAAGCCCTGTCCAACCTGGTCTTGGACACTGTCAGGGATCCAGGGCAGCCAAAACTTCTCTGGGCACCCTGTCCCCACCCAGAGAAATAATTTCTTCCTAATATTCAATCTAAAGCTGCTCTCTATCCATTTGAAGCCGTTCCTCACTGTGCTGCCACTCCAGCCCCTTGTAAATAGTTTCTCTCAATTTTCCTTGCAGGCTCCCTTCAGTTACTGGAAGGCTGTAATTAGCTCATCCTGGAACCTTTTCCAGGCTGAACAATCCCAATTCTTTCAGATTTTCCCCTCAGCAGAGCTGTTCAATCTCTCTGATCATCCTGGTGCCTCCTTTGGACTCTCTCCAACAGCTCCAGGTCTTTCCCATGCTGGAGGCAGCAATTAAGGATCGAGGAAAAATTTCAGGCCACAGATTGGATTAATGGTTTTCTCAATGAAACCCAAAGACATTCTGATCAAAAGCAGAAGAAAGAGCTGAACAGATTCTAATTCCCATTAAATGTCTCTGTTGGATTATCAATGCCTTGAACACTAAAATTCTGTGTGAGGTGACTCTCTAGGTCAGTTATAGGAAAAGGTGATGTTAACAAAGTCAGTGCAATCAGATATCCAGACATTAATATTCATAGATCCAAAGATGAGGTTTTGACTCAAGGATTGGTTTTGTCCTGTCATGGAAATGAAACCACCAAGCTTTACCTTAAAATAGGCTTCTTGCTCCACTATCTAAAAAATGCAGTTGTAGAAACTCAAAAGTTCAGAAAATTTCAGTTTCCAGAGTAAATTTATTCATGGACTTGATCTTGTACTAATATTACCTTTTAATTTAAAATGTTACTTTCTCTTCAGGAGACAATACCAGCTTTTTTTTGGCTCCAAAGGAAATCTAGTAGATGCTCCTTCATTTCATCTGCCTTGCTGCTGTGCCAGAGAAACAAGTACTTGTAAAACATATTAGGCTTCCATAAAATTCCATTCCTTTGGCCAAATGAAGTCATGTTAAGAGACAGAATTTTGCACTGTGCCCATATTAGGAAAATTAATTCTTTGGATATATTTTTTTTAATCTCTCCAGGTGGTCAAGCTTTGGAGTGCAGTAGGAGAAATGACTTCACCTCCTTCAGCTGTACTGCTTATTATTTTTGGCTGTTTCATACTTCATGAAATCTGGTTAATTATTATTGGGGGCTTTTTTTAATACTTCTAAGTCCTTGTGGGTGCATTTTATAAAACATTTATTTTTACTGCTTACATAACTACCTACCTAAAATGTTTTCCTTGGTGGACAACGGTACTGTTTTTGCCAAAACAGATTCTATTTCAATTTTGGGAAATTGTTGGAAAGCTGATATTCCCGTTTTTCAGCGGTGCCTGTGCCATGTTATTAAACTGGGCTTTATGGAGATGAAAAATTGGTCTTGACAGGAATCATAACCATTTGTTTACACTAAGCTGTATGGCTTCATCCCATCTGGAATTCAGTGCCATGCCTCTCATACAGAATCCTTAACCCATGATTTCCTGTCAGCCCTCAAAGGCTTCCTCTGTAAAATTCTCAAACATTCCACAGATGCATCTCCTGGAAGAGACCTAGGCCTGTGCTGAATTGGGAATTCTCCTGTTTTGTTGCATTTGAGGAAGTAGAGCCACCAGGATCTACTACAAAGAGCAGAACTGCTAAGAGAAGGCTGGAAGAAAACTCATAATTTCTTTCTTCAACTGAGCAAGTATGTTCCTAAAAGTAGATAATTTTCTTGCCATCAGAATTTCTAATTAAAAGATTACACTTCAGTGCTCTAATAAGTGGAAATCTTGTAGATCCTGGCCTAAAGACAGAGGGGACAGGTTTTACATGCAGTCTTCTGGCAAGTATATAAAATTAAGCAATTCTTTTCACAGTTATTCTTGGTGGATTTGTAGGCAAAGAGAAGTTCTCATCAGCCCTTGTTCTGCTTGATTAAATAAAACATGCTCTTAAAATTTTCCTGTCACAAGACATTATTTTCATTTCTCTTACCACACTTCTAGACTTTCTGCATGTGGATTCAAGTCTGACTTCACCCTGGATGTGACTGGCACAAAATATTACAGTTAATACCTTACTGATGTGATTTATAAACTTCATTATCTCTTGTGAAACTTCATGGTTCATGCAAGGCTCATGGTTGCACTTGCTTTGCAGAAATGTTTTTTGCCCTTTTGTGGTTTTCCTAAGTTTTCCTTGATAATTTCCAAATAACTGACCATAAAGTGAGAATTCTGTAGCATTTTATTGGTTTTAATAGTTCCACTTTTGCAAGCCTGTTGCTCACATTCTGATAATTTCATTTTAAATTGATGTCTCCTGATTTCTTGTTGTCATCACAGTGATGCCAAGGATTTTGATAAAAACACTAAGTACAATCAGCCCCAGGACTGAAATTTCAGGAGTCACCAGTAGTGACTGAATCTATCACTTTTTCAGTATAGTTTATTACTAACTTATGTTCAGTTTCTTCTTCACTTCATGCTCCTGCTGCCAATTCCAGCTTAGTTCATACTTTTCCACATAACATCACATCTCAAAGCTGCATGGAAGCCTAAGCAGATTCATTTTTTGGTGTTTAAAAATGGAGACAGACACTGCAGTAATGTAGCAAGGTGTCCTGCCTCTGCCACATGGCCAAAACCATCACTCAGCTGTTATTTTTAATTGTTATCCCATTACAGTGGTACAGAGGTCCTGCTGTTTTCCTTCTTGTCCTCTTGGACACATGTCCAAACATTTTTGCTGTAGTATTTAATATCTTCGATAGAAATATAGAAACATAAATTGTTTAGGTTAGAAGGGAATTTAAAGATCATCTCATTCCAATGCCCTGCCATGGGCAGGGACACCTTCCATTAGACCAGGCAACTCCAAGCTCTGTCCAACCTGGCCTTGAACACTTTGAATTTTAATAATTCTTATTTTACATTATATATTTTGGCTTCTAAGACATAGCTTTTTTACTGATCAGTCTTTTACCCTATTTCTTTTTGACACTATCTCATGCTTGAGATGGTTGTTTAGCCAATAAGCTTTGAAGACTATTCCTGCTCTTATTCATCCCATCTCTTGGCTCAGTTAAATGTTTTCATCCCTTTCTGACCTTGGCATCCTTGGATAACATGTTCATGACTTAACCAAGGCCAAAATAATATCATCTATTTACTGCTTTCCTGGTTATTAAGTGAAGATCTTCTGCTGCTATTGATGTGAAAACCACTTGGATGTTACTCATTTCTAATCTCTGGATAATTCACTTATTTTTCCAAGTGTCACATTTCCCAATGACCCTTTCTAATCATACCTGAATTCCCTAACCTGCCAAACAACAAACTTTGGGGTTTATCCTCCAATAAAACTCCCCATTCTCCACAGATACTGTCAGATGAGTCAAATCTGGGTTTACACACAGTTCTGTTGTATTTCTAAGGTGAACAGCTCAAATCTCTTATCACTGCCCTGCTTCCCTCCTGACTGATGAAAATCCTTGCCCTTACATCATTCTGCAGTACATCATGCCATGGCTGAGGGATTTTTAGACCTGCTAAGGAATGGTCCAGGGATGACATATTAGAGAGCAGGAATGCTGGATGCTTGTTTACAGCCCTTCCTGAAACCATCCTGGAGTGCATGTTAAGCTTGAAAAACCAATTGCAAGCTCTTGAAGGAATTATTACATCACTCCAACCCTGAAGTGCAGCTGCCTCAGTGGAAAGGCAGGGAATTTTTAACAGTGCATAGAAGTATTTCAGCACTTCAGGAGAGAAAGTGAATAATGCCATAATCAACTGAGCAGAAAGGGAATGTTTAGTAAGTAGTCATATATAGTTGTTTTAACTGGGTTTAGGCCAGAAACCTGGGAAAAGCCTGCTGCTAATGGCAAAAATGGAATTGGGGTTTTTAAGTCACCAATGACCAAGTCCTTTGGTTTTCATTTGCATTTTAAGCTCCAGCACCTAAAGCAGCAGAGTTGTGGTGGAGTTTTCTTTTATAACTGGTCACCAACATTTCCTCCTTCAATAAGCAGGAATGATGTCTGATTTCCCCAGGAACTCACAGGAAA